CCACAGACCCTAGGTCAAATGGGACATAATACTTGGCTCTTACCATGGTCATGGTTGGACGCTCTCTTTATTTTCAGACCTAAACTCTAAATCCTTTAACCTTAACCCTAAATCCCAAAGTTAATTAGTATTGTTTTTTGCTGATGTGAGGGTTGTTTTTGTTTTCAAACACAAAACCAGCAACCATGTTATCAAGCACTCTTAAATTTGTCATATTTCAAAACATTGCAGTGTTTCGAGTGAAGGGCATGTAAAATAGCAGTGGTCCAGGGTGATGGTTCGCAATCAAGAGTGACCATGTAAAAATGGCCGAGCCTCATTTAGCCTTGGCCACAGCAAAACCAGGAGGGCTAAGCCTCTTAATTATAGACCAGTTTCAGAAGTTAACTTGGACCATTCAAATGATTTACATTGCTTCCTGGATAGGGCTTGGCCAATATTGTACTTATTGGAGTCCCAAAATGTTGTATTATATTTGATCTTAGCTTTTACCGCTAATCAAAGATGGTTGTACTTGTACGAGTCCGCAATAAACTCAGACTCAGCGGTGAAAGGAGGGAGGAGAGGTTTAGACCATTAATCATGACTTCATGTTTCAGATGGTCGGGGTATCCAATGTCCTACCCTTCACTCTCTCTCTCTCTCTAGTGTGATATTATGGTGGAACTTTATCACAAAGAAAGAAAAGTGATGAAGAGAGGAGAGAAAAGATTAGAAGAAGAAGAAGATAAGGAGAGTCAAAATGTTAACTCCAAGGTTGTGCAAAACAGCACAAGGGGTGATATTAAAAGAAAAAAAAGTGGGAATGAGCCCTTAGTGGCATCACTTCACGATTGTGGTTGGACTGCCATCCATTACGCCCAACAAATCCCTTTACGTGCACATATGTACCCACTTTTCTTTACACGATATGACATGTATTCACCCATGCGATCGAATGCGATCATGCTTTGTGACCCCCAATATCCCCCTCTCTCTTTACTTTTCCAGGAAAAGCGAAATCGCCATTCCATAACCTCTATATCCCTCTAACATTAATCAAAAAGTCTAAAAAAGACACAAGAAAAGTTTTCTAGACGGTCGTCCATGCATGTACCCCCCCCCCACCCAAAGCCACTCATAATCCAAATTAATTACTCCAATCATACCATCTTAATTAACCACCCACTTAATTGCATTGGTGGGCTGGAGATATTACTTTTTCTTGGTTTCTTTCTTTTCTTGCAGTGTTGTGTTGTTTTGCAGACAGATCTAGAGAGAGAGAGAGAGAGGCGTCAGTTTTATTAGGTGGACAATTCAGATTGAAAAAGACATTTACCGTTGCGTAATAAGCTAGGTGAGTACAAAGTACTAGACAAGAGGGGCCTAATTTCCAAGTGTGAGAGGCCGCAGGAGGGATGACGCCAACTCGCAAAGACAAGGGGGAATTCATTGAGCCCCCACATAAGCTGACAAGCATGGGGTTTGAACTTTGAATCACACCTCACCCATCAAACCTGCAGTTACAAATAATAAAAAGAAAAGGTAACCCACCCACCCACAAGCCCACAACCAAGAATAGGTATTATATATGTAATTCCCATACATCCGCTTTGTTTGGCAATCCATAACAGCGTCACACACCCCATCCTTTTTCGATCAATTTCCGAGTTATAAAGGTTCCCAAGTTGAACTTGAATGAAAAGAAAACGAGAGAATAATATAAAGTCATAGAGAAAAAGGTAGAAGATGACCTCTCTCTCTCTCTTCTTTTGCTGTCTCAGCTCAGTCTCTCTCTCCCTCAAATCTGCCAATGCTTTGAAAAGAAAGAAAAAGTATCTGGAAGAGAGAATGTTAAAGCCACAGTTTGTTTTGTCGTTGTATGCTTTAAAATTTTCTTTTCTTAAGGCCCATGGACACGTGCAAATGAATGCCTTGTCTTCCCTAGCTAATGATGGATTTGCACCGCTTGTTCCACTGTGTGGGATCCACTCCTATCATGCACCCTTTCTTTTATCTTTGACCGACACAACAAGCTTCAGCAGTTACAAACAACACGAGAAGAAGAAGTGATCCATCATCCTAATTACTGGGAATTTAATTAATGAGTTGGGTTGGGTGAAGTGAAACTGAAACAATCAGCAAGCTAAGAGCCTAAGAAGTAAGAAATCAAAATCCACTCAAGAATAAATGCCCAAATGGGGTCTTTAGTCTTACTACTTCTGAATGAACCACCAGTGCTTTTATCAGAGACTGAAGGTCTGAAACCACCCCCACCACATGGTTCGTACTGTTTGATCAAGTGGTGGCAGGCACAGGCAGCTTGAGTCATTTCATTGGCTTTGTAATTCTGGAGCTGGAGCTGAACATAAATTATACGGAGATGAAAGGTGATGACTAGCTTGCTAAACAACTAGGGTGCAGTGATGGTGTCTGGGACGACTACTGGAGGGTTTGATGATTTTGATCCAGTCGTGATTGATGGGGTTTCGGGATCAGCTAGCTTACGCCAGAAACGACGGAGCCAATGATCAGAAGTGTAGTCAACATTCAGGTCTACATTAATTCCCCTACACGTTTACAACTATAGTTGAGAAACAACATTGATTGCTGCCCTTATTGGCTATAATAAATAAATGGTATTATATTTGATAATTGATTTGGGTTGAAAACCATAAGACACCACTGTAGTACACGTGTGGAGGCCTTTTGCCTGTATGAGAAGAAAAAGGGATCTTCCAACTTGAGGCGTGTATACAGGTCATTATATTATCTGGATTTGGATTGTAATTTCCAAAAGGAAAATGAAGTAATGGCTCTCTTTCTGTTACATGGAAACATGATAACACATTATCTTACTCTTTTAGAAAAGTTTTTTGTTTTTCCAGTAAAAAATAGCATCTGGTCCCTAGTCATTTTACGTCAGAGTTCTTTCTTTCATGAAAAATAATGCTTATTTCCAAGTATTGCATGAGTATCGATCAAAGTTGCTCTTTTTATGAAAACAAATTAACAAAGCCATTTATTGTTTATGTTTTCTTCCGGTTTGCTATGATAATATTTAGGAAGTATTTTTCAATACTATGGTTTTGTTTTTTTGTTTTTTTCTTTGGAAGAAAACTGCTATTAATTAAAACCAAACAAGAGTAGTTTAAACACAATCAACAAAGAGAAAAGGAGCAATCAACATGAACACACAAAACCACACTAACCTATATATCACTAGAACTAGAACAAATTGGACATCTACTACTATTAATCTTATCAGCTTCTAAGCAACACTCCAACCAATCTGGCGGATCAACAAAAACTTCAGCATCCTGGGCAAAACCACATGCACTTCTGCTTCATGAGCTACTTCATTATATCCATTCCTCTAGAGGAATGTCTTTCATCAAAACAAAAGGAGTCCTTTGGCCAATCCTCCCCATTCTTTTCTAAACTTAACACCAATGATTGACAATCCGATTGATTCCAACATTGCTTTTCTATAGACAATTTCAATTAAAAGTCAAAGACCTATTTACAAAGCAATAGCCTCTGCTTAAAACACTGAAAATGTCTTGAGATTCTATTACGATCCATTTGTCACACATTAGTAGTATGGGATGTTAATATGAGCTATCCCACATCGGTAGTATGGAATGCTGTTGTGGGGTATATATGTCTTTGGGTTCCCTTTCTCTAACAGCTAACTTTTAGGGGTGATTTCTCTCAAAGAACATAACAGTTTCTTCCAAAACAAGTCACTACCAGGAGATCTTTGGAGTCCAAAATCACCACTCTAGCCATCCTGGGTCTAGAGACCGCCAATGACACCTACTTTTGATCACTTTAGGAGGCACTGGACTTGAAATTAATCATACTTTGACAAGCATCGAAGCATCCACACAAAATATTCAAACAAACTATTGGAATAGACCATTCTGATTCAAATACCGAAGGATTTTCATTCCGATCCAAACGGACCCTAAGATGAAGGATGGTTTTGGAGTTTGAATCACGTTAATTTAATGTTTAATCTTCTATCTACCAAAATGATTCACCCCGGGGCCCCATTTATTTTTTTGGTGGATAAATGCATTTAATCGGATGATATTTCCCAGGTAATACTTACACAGGTAAGGTCATTTTAGGGGAACACACTTGCCCACCATTACCGATGTGTGCAGGATTGTTGGTAAATGGGAACCAACCCCCTACCACATACACACACAATATACCGAAAAACAAACCGAGCCTAAATAGATTACACTTTACACACGAGGGATATGGGCTAAAAAATTGTGTTGGGTCAGCCCACAAGAAATTTTTATTTTGATTTTTTGAATTTGATGGAAAAAGTAGGACAATCTTAACTCTTGCGGTGAGAAATCATAGTAAAGTATTCCATATTTGGTTACATGGGAAAATATCAAGTATGTGTACCTCTTTAGAGATGGATATATAATTGAATACCTAGCTCCTATAGTGAAGGGAAAAAGAGGAAGTAGGTATAATGTATAATATAATTATAAATTGAGAAATTTGAAATGAAATGTGGTTAGAAAAGGTGGGTTCGGTGGTTTTATACTATTTGTATTTGGGGGGCTACAGTAAGCAAGACAGTTCCCAAAGAAAAAGAAATGTGGATTGGTTTCAGATAGATTCGGTTTTTGGCTCCAACATTCTCCTACCACTTAAAGACGGCATTCAGAGTCCGTATGTTTTAAAAGAAAGAGTTCCATTTTTCAAGTTTTGGGATTGGAGGAATCTTTTTCATTCCCCCTCCTCCACTTTAGTCTTTAGATAAAAAGTGAAGAAGAGAAGTAGAGAACCCAAACAGGCCACCGAAAAGCAAGGACCCCCTTATCATTAAAGCAAGAAAAACGACCCGATTTGACGGGCCAACCCACATTACACTAGTATCCCCGTCTCAACAATCAACACCCACCCAAACCCAAACCCAATTATCTCTCTCTCTCTCTCTTCATCTCAAGTCAACCTCACCTCATCATTTGGTCTTTGTTCTCAGGCACCACTTCATCACTCCCCATTTTCTAACCCCCTACCACAACGCAGAACGCACACACGCTCTCTCTCTCTCTCTCTCTCTCTCTCTCTCATCTGAATATTCCTATATATAATCACCACTCAGTCTCAGCGTCTCCTACTCCCCCATGGGAAGCTTGAACATGAAGGTCCATCAGCTTGCACGTGGGCTTTGGGAGCACGAACCATCCCTCACACTTGGCTGCAAGCGCCTACGGCCGCTTGTACCCAAGCTTACAAACGGTGACAGTGTCTCCAATCTTGATCTCAAAAGTTTCATCAAGCCTGAAAGTAGCCCTAAGAAGCCTGCAGGATCCACGGATGAGAAGCGACAACCTGTTCAGGTAACAAACACAAGTCATCGCTATACTTCACTACTACTAGTTCTTCTAAAACCTATAACATCAATACATAATTACTGGGAAATTGAAATTATTTGAAGGTGGAGGCTCCTTCCGGTGGAACGAGGTGGAACCCAACACAGGAACAGATAGGGATCCTAGAGATGCTCTACCGTGGTGGAATGCGAACTCCCAACGCGCACCAGATAGAACAAATCACTGCTCAGCTTGGCAAGTTTGGAAAGATCGAAGGGAAGAACGTTTTCTATTGGTTCCAAAACCACAAAGCCAGGGAGAGACAGAAACAGAAACGCAACAGTTTGGGTCTCACCCATTCTCCAAGGATAGCTCCGCCCACTACCACTGTTACCTTGGATCCCGGTGTAGGTGTCAGCACTCATCAGCAGTACTACTGCATTTTTAATTTTAGTCTCCTAGCTAGACTGCTTCTGTTCCCTATCTTTTTTTTTCTTTTCTTTTCTGTACTTCTGAACTTATAATATTAATATATATAGTTTGTATTGTTCTTGGTGGTGGTAACACTGCAGAGGGAAGTAGAAAGAGAGGAAGATAGTCACTACAAACGGAAACACCGAAGCTGGGGGGTGGAATTCTTTGGAGAGGATAGCAGCAGGTTGTGTGGAGGAGAGGAGGGAGATAAAACTCTGGAGCTCTTCCCTTTACATCCGGAAGGCAGATGACGATCGATGGGTTTTGAATTTTGCTTCTAGTCTCTCCTTGTTGTTATTTGATTTACTTTCTTTCTTTTTCTTTGTTTGGGGAAAGAAGAAAGTCGGGTAAGTTGTTAAATTGTCAATGTATTGGCTCCTCTCCTACTATATCTCTGACCAACCAAGCGCTTTTCTACTCTTTATTCGTTAATGGCGGATCCTTTTTTGACTAAGAGACATTGTTGAAACTCTAACTTTGGAGTTAAAGCGAGGCAAGGACACTGAAGTCCACGCACTTGCCCCCCCGTGAAGTGAAGTGTGGCCACTGCACATTGTTTGTGTTTCCTTACTGATGACATGGTTTGATCACTGATGGGGCCCATTGACTTGCATGTACACGGAGCTGAAAGCCCACGTCACGTTGGATTTGAATCTAACATGCGTCATATCAAACCACTATTATCCAATTGTAGAAGATGCACGTTTTATTGGGAGGTGCACTTAATTATAGCAAACAAATGGCCTACTTAGCTACTTGCAAGAGTTGGGTACACTATTGTTTATTAGATGCTAGAATTTTACGGGGCAATGGGTAGCCAGCGTGTGGCTACATGCCACCAAAGGGTACCTAAATTTCTGCATCGAGAGAGAGGAGGAGGAGGAAGAGGAATAAACACCACATAAAAGATGACTACATTTGGTTCAATCCGATCCGGTCCAATGTGAGTCTATTATAAATAGATTAGGTTCAATCCAATCTTACGAATATTTTGGACTAATTTGGACCACTCCAATTCAATATTTGTTCAAATTTATTTTGATTTAGATTGGTTTTAATCCAAACTCAGTCCATTGACACATATATTTTTATTTCAAATCAATGGATTAGATATTAGCTTAATCCAATCCAATCCAATATAAATTTGTTATGGATGGGCTAGGTCCAATCCAATCTAATAAATATTTTGGACCGGATTGGTCCAATCCAATATATCTTGTTGGTCCGTCCAATCTGTTCAAATTGATTTTGGATTGGACAGGGTCCAATCCAACACCGGTCCATTGACACCCTTAACTACATACTTGTAGTGTTTGATGCAGGGACCTACGTTCAAATCCATCGTTGTATGTATTAAATCAGCTTCCATCATGTGAATTGTTGGAAAATAGTAAATAAGGCATATTAGAACATATCGGTAATTGCTTTCCAAATTGAGAACTTGCGAATTTGTAGCACTGCATAACTCTGAAACCGAGAACTTACAAAGAGGAGGGTTGAGTCGTACCACTTGGTCACTCTCCTTAAAACCGCATTTGCCCCCTATAGTGTAGTCAAGTGATTGTAAATCGATTGCCAAGATAAAACAACCCACATGCCACTAGTAGGCATGCACTCGCTTACCAGACCTCTACAAACCACAAGGAATGATGCTCAAAGAAGAACGATTATAGAGAAGAAAAGACTATGTCGAGTGCACTAGTATGTGTTTCTGGGTTAACCAACACTTCTTTTATAGAGTGTTCTCAATCACCCGAATTGACACACAGAAGTGTCATTTCTAACAGAGGCCTCTTCAGAACAATGCATCTGTTCGAAGATACACAAGAAGAAGAAACACGAAACATAAAAGAAAATATTTAAAAATAAATTTGAAATTTAAAAGTCAAATTGTTCAATCCGGTCAAAACCAAAATGATTCAATGTAGCACACGTATACACTACACGTACATGTACACGCGCCCACACCTTGCCCCGACTTGGCTCGGCGCGCACGTACAAAAAGCACCCCCACCCCCTTCACATGCATGGGAATATAGTGCTTTCCTCCTATAGGTCTCTACCCATAGAGAGAACAACTTTATAAGTATAATCCAACTCAATTCCTTTCTCAAACAATGTGGAACAAGGAGTATTCCCATACATTCAAAAGAGAGAAGAGAAAAAAACAAAACTCAAAAATACAAAGGAGGGAGGAGAGATTCTTGAAGTTTTAAATCTCCGTCCAACATGAACAGTGCTAGATAGAAATAAAATTGCATATTGCTAGTATAACAGTGTTTACCAAACAACACTACAAGGATAATAGCCATTTAAAAATGGCTAAAGCGTCTGTTTGATATCATTGTCTTGCTTCAGCACCACATAAAAAAAGCGATGCCGTAAAAAATGGGTGTTTGTTTGGAACCATTTTTTCATAAAAAATTGTGCTCCAAACCGTCTTGAAAATCAAAAAGGCATGGCTCGAGAAAACACCAAATTTGGTATTCCTTGAAGCTACAACTAGTTATTGCCATGGCACCAAATAAAAAATATTATTGTTACTCCAAAAACGTCCAACCTATTAGCAACTACTACTAGAATTTTTATCATCTTCTAATTTGAATAACATGAGAGGCACTTTTTAATGCCTCCTAATTTTATTACTCTTGGCTGTGGTCGCAGGTTTTAGATTGCCGCTCAAACAACATCGCGTGCGACTTTTCTCCTCCTCTTTTCTTTTCACTTTCTTTTTTTCTCTCCCATTTCTTCATTTCCTTTCTTCTCTCTTTCTCTTCTCTCATGCCCTGTTGAACTGAACACCCACCTATTGCATTACTTGGCTGGGTAACAGGTTATTGCATCCAGTAATAGGGTAATAGGGTAATAGGGTTTTGCATTCAGAGAACACCCACCTGTACTGGAACTCCAATGGGAGCAGACCTGCGTTGATTTACCTGTACCGGAACTCGAATGGGAGCAGATGGCGACGCACCTGTTCAAATTGGCATGAGTATCCTTAAGCCCATCTGGTTGGTTATTTGTTCTCTATCCCCTGTTAATCTCTCTCACCCCCTTTTCTCTGTTCCACACCATTGTCGGCCATCTCCGCCCTCTCTCTTGCTGTTGCTGTAACTAATCTGCCATTGCAGCATACCACGACATCCAACCTCTCTCCCATCTTCTTCTTGTGATTAGCTGAACCAAGAAGTGCTTTCTCAATCGCCGGTGACCGGACTCAACCCTAAGGCATCAGACTTGGTTGACGAAGCTGGATTGGATGACGAAGAAACAAACCTTCCCAACCACAAGAATAATAGCAATAGAAACCCTAACGAGGTTAATAACAGTGGTGTTGATAATGATGCTGATGCGAATGACTCGGAAAAGAAGGATTCGAGGCCTCGGAAACGAAGGAAGAGAGGTGCAAAGGAGAATCTGTTGAATTGTAGGGCCAACTCTGTCATGTCGAATATTGTTGAAAAGACGGTGAGGAGTTTCCTTTCGCTGCTGTTTAAGGAGCTGTTGTATTGTGCAATTAACAAACACTCAAATGGGGGAGGGTTCGGAGGGCTTGGAGGGGTGGCGTTGAATCCGTTGCCCCTGAATTTGGGGAGGGGGGGTGTGATGAGCTTCTCCAAGGGGGAGGTGGTGGATGAGAAGTGGAGGAAACAACAAGTGTTGGAGTTGGAGGTGTATTTGAAGCGGATTGAGCTGGTGCAAGATTGGATTAAGGCGGCGATAGAGGAAGTGAAGGTAATGGAGAGTTGACTTGACGAAAAGTTTGTTGTGGCTACTGGTAATAAGTGTTTGGAGTTTTTGGTTGATTAGTATTAATTTTTCTGGTGCATGATATTTGTAGATAATGGTTGCAGCATTTGAGTTTCATGGTTTAATCGTCTATTTTACAGAAAAAAAAACTGTTCCACAATAAGATTTTCTAACTATCAATTATGTTCAACACAATAACTGACTATGAATTTATTGTGCATACATTTATCTTGTTGTATAGATTTACATGTCTGAGGCTATATATGAATTTTAATCAATCATATATTTTTGGTCAGACAATTCTGTATGGTTTCCCTTAAACCATTGGTTTTTTTTTAGTTAGGAGGCCAGGCAGATGGCTTTTTTGCGACGCTAGTAATTTCTTTTTATGTAAAAAGTATTTGCCTGGAGCAATTTCAGGTCTGCTGCGTACCTCCTGAAAGTGGAGAAGAGGCAAGAGGAGAAAAGTTATGAGAAATCTGACTTTATGGTAAATCAATTTTAGCATCTTTATACTTCGTTTTTTCTGTTGATCCAATCCCATGTTTAAAAAGCATTGCAGTTTTCTTTTTTTTTCTCCCTTGGACTACCTTATTCTTGCTCTTTGCCTTGTTCCAAGAAATGTTGTTTATGAACAACAGTCGGCTTGCCCTTGTCCAATAAAAAGGCACCTTACTTAAATAAGATCTCTTTCTCTTCTGTATCATTATTCTCTCTGCTGCAAATTAAAGTATGTCTATGCATAGTAAGCTCACCGCTCACTTTGTTCAAAATGTTTCCTTTCATGTTGAAATAATTAAGTACAGAACTGACTTTAAACACGATTTGAATTTAATTCCATTTTCCATTTAACATAATCAGATAATTGGCCATCTTCCTCAAAGCAAGAAGCTTATTACTTGTGTAGACAAATTATCTTGTTTTAGCAGTTTTGATAGACTAATTAGGTTCATTTTTTTTTTGGAAAAGGTAAAGTAATATTTATTGAGAATGAAATACACACTGGAGGCTGAGATCAGTCGCAAAACAGGCTGACTGATCTAAACAGCGATTACACAAGCCATCAAGACAAGGAAAACAGTACATCTGAAACATTACAGTTTCTAAAATCTGCCGCCACAGACAACCAAGAAATCAGTTTGCCAACTAACTTCTGGGTTAGGTCCTCCAGACTTAGAAACTTGTTGCTGAACACCCTTCTATTCCTCTCGGTCCAGATACACCACATTACAGCACTTGGAATCACTTCCCATAAAGTCTTCTTTTTCTTGCTCCAGCCCACAATATGCCAGCAGCATAACAGCTCTTTTACCGACCTCGGCATCACCCAACAAACCTTCAAGGACTTGAGGAGGTGGTTCCACAACTGAGCCGTGAACGGGCAATGTAAACATAAGTGATCAATAGATTCAGCACTGCACCCACATAAGCTGCAAGACTGGTCCAAAATCTGAATTCCCCTCCTTACAAGGTTCTCCTTGGAAAGGCATTTGTTAGGAGCCATAGTCCAAACAAGGAAACTGGCTTTAGTCAGACTAATAGGATTCCACACTTGTTGAACAGGGAAATCAGGAACACCCCTCCTACCAAGCCTAGCCGCCAAAGATTTAACAAAGAATATCCCTTCAGGATTCCACTTCCAATGCCACTTATCCTCCATACTAAAGTCCATCTCTTGACGTTGGAGACTGGTCAAAAGATTCACTGCCTCATCCACCTCCCAATCAAAGAGATTTCTTCGGAAAGAGGGAGTCCAAAGAACAGAACCACCAGAAATACTATAGCACTCAGCAACTGAGGCCTCTTGGTCTGAAGCACATTGGAAGATGAGAGGGAAGGATTCAACAAGAGGAACATCTAGGCACCAAGGGTCCTTCTAGAATTTGATCTTATTACCATTACCAGCCTTGACTGTGATCCTCCTAGCCAACTCTGGAAAGTGCTTCATTATCCCCTTCCACAGAGAGTTACCCCAGTTAGGAGGGGGGTCCCTAGATCTCCAATTTCCCCAGCTCACACCATATTTGCTAGCTATGAGAGATCTCCGCCAAGCATCAGATTCTATAGTAAATCTCCAAATCCATTTACATAGGAGGACAGAGTTAAAATATTTTAGCTTCCTTATACCTAACCCCCCCTTCAGATTTGGGGAGACAGACTTGTTCCCAACTCACCAAGTGCACTTTTTTCTCCTCCTCCCAACCTCTCCAAAGGATATTCCGTTGAAGCTTTTCAATCTGATTTGCCACCTTCTTAGGAATAGAGAAAAGAGATAGGAAGTAGGTAGGCAAATTGGAGAGAGTACTCTTAATCAGAGTCACCCTCCCCCCAAAAGAAAGATATTTTGCCTTCTAAGAAGCCAACTTCCTTTCCAATCTCTCAATAACTGGGTCCCAAATAGCGAAGGAACCACCACTCACCCCGAGTGGGAGTCCCAAATATTTAATCGGGAGAGATTCAATCTGACAAGCTAGAATACCAACACACTCAGCTAAATTGGAAACACGTCCAACTGGGATAATTTGGTTCTTATTGCAATTAACTTTCAAACCTATAATCACTTCAAACCAAGAGAGAATCCCAAGAATTAGCTCCACCTGAGCAGGGGAAGCATCCATAAAACATATTGTATCATCTGCAAATTAAAGAATGTTCACCTTCTCTCCCCTGGGCACCATTGCAAAACCTTTCCCCCCTGACTCAACAGCCTTCTTACAGAAAAGAGTGAGGATATCCATTACACGTATAAATAAAAGAGGAGATAGAAGGTCTCCCTGCCTAAGACCCTTGGAACTATCAAAGAAACCTACAAACTGCCCGTTTACCAAGACTGAGAACTTTGGGGAAGTGATACATACTTTCATCCAATTCCTCCATTTCTACCCAAAATTCATCTGAAGAAGCACAAGGTCTACACATCTCTAGTTAACATGATCGTAGGCCTTATCAATATCAAGTTTACAAATCAAACCCAGATAAACTTCTTTTTTCCTGGAATGAATGAGCTCATTGGCAATAAGAACTGAATCTAGCATCTGTCTATCCGGAATAAAAGCACTTTGGTTATTTGAGATAACCCTACCAAGAACTGTTTTCAATCTTTCAACAAGGACTTTAGCTAGGATTTTATAGAAGCTATGCAATAGACTAATTGGCCTAAAATCCTTAATATTCACAACACCTTCAATCTTTGGAATGAGGGTTATAAAGGTAGTGTTCAGACTTCTCTGCAATGAGGGTTATTAGGTTCATTTTTTTTTAATTATCTCAATTGCAACCTTCTTATTAGATTGTCAAAAGGAAAAACTCTATTTAACTGAAAAAAAAACTCTATTAGAAATAAGTATAATAATGCAGCCCTTAGTTGATTGTGATTTGATATCAGGAAGGAGAGAGGCGGCTAGTGGTCATTGGGTTAAGTTTGAATATAGCAAGGTGTAAGGGGTTAACACTAGCTTAAACTAGTTCTAAGGGGTCAATAGTTATAAGGTCAAAAATAAAAAGGGGAGAGAGAGAGAGAGAGAGAGAGCTCAATATTTAGAGGGCATGATTAATTGACAATACTTGAGAGAATTTTAGTTAGAGCTATTAAATAGCGAAAGGATCTAAATTTGTTTAAAACTTGTTTGGTTTATTTACTTGAAAGAGTCTAAGGCTTGGATGGATCTAAATTTGTTTAAAACTTGTATATAATCTTAGAGGACACTTACTAAGTATTGGTGGGTATTTTTTTATTGATTATAAGCATTGGTGGGTATATTTTTTATAGGATATTTCTCTAAGATCCTGAAGTGTTTGCTGTGGTTATCCTAAATTTGAGCTTATTGATTATAAGCTAAAAAAATTATCCACTTCCTGGTTGCAACACTTCTGGTGCGATCCTACAGAATAAAGATAAATTGGAAAACAAAATAGGTAAATATTGGATGATGCATGACAGGGAACAACTAAAACATCCAATCAAAAGAAAAATTTAACCCAGAACCATAGTGGGAAGAATGCAATAAATTTATCTTTGAAAATAAAAGTACATCCTTGGCTGATCTGAAAAAGACATATCCTTTCTTTGTTAAACTCTTGGGTGCTTTTAGCTAAAATGTTCTCTGGAATCAACTACAGTGTTCTGAGTAAAAATTTTAATTAAAGTCCCCCCCCCTTAATTCTTCAGCCCTCTCTCTTCTTATGCTCTCTAGACCTCTCACTATTGTCATTTTGCAGTTTGATGGAACTCTAAGAAACTATGGGGAAGCTAAGGCTGGAAATTGGGGTGGGGGGGGGGTATCTTGAGAGCTGATAGATTTCTGATTTAGGCTTTTACTTTAAGCTTGAGGGTCTCATATTTGCTTAACATCTGCTCTCTAGTTTGCTGCTTTTGAAGGGGATTCTAGAATAGTGATTTGTTGGGCAACAAATTTTGAGACAGGTCCATGGAGGATGGCTCATTTCCTTCATGAATTCATGTTATTTCAACTTCCCTTGGCTGCTACTTTAGAATTCCAATAACATGAATTCATGTTAAGAAGTTGCAAAGCACTATTTGATTTAGTATGGTTTAATTGCAACAAACCCCCCCCCCCCCATTCGTCCATGAGTAAATTGGGTTTTACATATTTATGTCAATAGACCAACTCAAAATCCATTACAAGAAAATTGGATTTTGGCAACGGTCGATTGATCACAGTTACAACTATTATTGCCAAAAGCCAAATTTTAGCAACAATTGGTTAACATTGTTGTTAAATTAGGAACTGGCAACAGATTTTACCCAACTGTCGCAAGTTACTTATCCAATTGTTGCCTAAAGTATTCTTTTAACAACAACTGATTAGAATTGTTGTTAAACCAATGTATGGACAACAAGTCTTATCCAACGGTTGCTAATTGTATATCAACTGTTGCTAATTGTTTTTAACTTTAGCAACACTCAGAAAAATCATAGTCATAGTGATATTTAAAACATCAACAACTAAGGTAAAGAATGATTAATATGGCAGCCATAAAAAATATCGAAAAATGTAAAAAAAAAAAAAACAATGCTTTTAGGGTTCTAGAACTTTTATTATCATTATTATTATATATATAATAATGAAACAACTTTCAATCAAATCAACCAGTATCATATAATAAATGTGGTAAACAATTAGTAGGTTATTAAATGAAAGAGGGGTTTTGAGTGGCCAAAGTCCTTCCTATATATACCGTGTCTTTCCACATATATTTTCCCTAATTTTATTAATTTGTTTTATAATTAATCCATGAACCAATGTTTTATTTGAACATTTCAATGGTTTAAACAATTGAGTCGACAATTTATTTTCCATCTCAATGGTTTTTCCTATAACATTATGCCTTGGATCTAAAATCGTGATAAGTTCTAGGTTGCATGGTTCAATCGTTGTTTGCATCAAACAATGGTTTAGAACATTGATACATAATACCTTTAATTAATTAACCCTAAACATACAAATATTTCAATGTTAAAATATCAATAGAACATTATTTAGAGAGCCCGTAACAATTAGCCAATATGATAAAATTTTGAGGCAATACACTAGCTAATTTGTTGGTTAGGCTTTAAAAATTGAGCTACTAAAAACATCTTCCATAATCGGGCAACTCCAAAACTAATAAACTAGTCTTGATTTCATAAAACTAGTTTTTTATTCATTTTTTAACTTTTATACCAACTTCTAGATTAGGTCATAACGTTCCACTCAATAATTGGATTGGGGTGATCTTTTTATTTGTTTTTCAAATTTGAATAACATTTCGCATTACCAAGGGGCCAAAGGCACCTTGTCCTACTATTTTTACAAAAATAAATTCCTTTTTGATTTAGGTAGTTGAACTTACCCTCCATTAGCCCTGTTCACGAGATGGGTTTGATTCAGACTTTGTCTCTATATTAATAAAACATATTTAGGCTCAAGCTCGAGCTTGACCCAACCATTGAGCCTCGAGACCAACTCTTGTATAAAGCCTAAAGCCCAATTGAGAAGTTGGGAAAGAAGTTTTTTTTTTTTTTTTTTTTATTTAACAACAAAGCTGATTTATTTATGATAAGTGACCACAAAACCCAAAAAAAAACTAAAGGATATCACTATATGATAATTTGAAAAAAAAGAGAAGAAGAATATATATTATATATTTTTTATTATATAAAATATATTTTTTAATTAGTTTCAATCAATGTTTTGAGCCTGTCGTTGACTCGAACAATTGAATCATTTGGACCATCACCCGATCAAGATTCTAGCTTTGGTTCGATTAGAACCCAAAAAAGTGCCAAAAACTATTGATTTTGTCAAAAACCATCCAACCCAAATGGTTTGACTCGGTGATTGGATCGTGGTTCGGGAGGCCATAAAATATGCACTTGTGAGTGTGTCTGATCCAATTATTGAGAATTTACGTCTGAATTTGATCAAATTTAAGACTCTGAATTGAATTTGAATCTTAACAGACTTAGATTGGATTCGGATTTAATCCAACTTCGCTATAACTTTTTTAAAATATTAGAAAAATTAAAAAAATTTATTTTTCAATTTATATATAATAAATTAATATAAATATAACATACTAAATTTATTATATATATAAATTCATATATAATATAATATATAGACTATATTTTTATAATTTTAAATATAATTATATAAAATTTATATATTAACATTAATAAATAATATAATATAATTGGATTTGGATTTTTATAGGATTGAATGGGGTCAAATCCGAATCCGGTCCAATTATTAATCGGATGTAAATTGTAATATCAAAATTTGATATGATTACATAAATACATCATCTGAATTTGAGATAATTGGACCAGATGTTAGGTTGGGCCTCGGATTTTTGGGTACCATTCATAGGCCTATATAAGAATATATATATATATACTTCAAATATATAGATGTTGATGTGGCACGATCTAAACCGTTCAACCCA